AAAATTTGCGCTTGCGCAATGTCTTTGCAACAGGCTTGTATACTTTTTCTGACGGCAATCAAGGAAATGCGCCCTTCCCCCGCGACACTTGTTTCCTCTTTCTTCGTCGCAATTGGTGGAAAAGGACTAGATCAAAACATATACTTTGAATCCATTCGCCTCCTCCTCGATATAATCTTGTACGCGCATAATCTTTTTCCGCTTTTTCTTCCTTTCCCCGCCTCATTTCCTCGGCTGGCTTCACTGGGTTTATTTTAAGGATAAGAAAATTACGAGCTTAATTTAAATATTGGAATTAGAAGATTTTGTTACTAAATTGTAAGAGAAAAAAGTAATTGAAGTGAAGATAGGGATATGAAATAGAGTAGAAATATGAGATATCAAGGTTTTAATTTGTAGAATATTGATATATTTGTGAAATATTTTTAGATACGGTAGATTCTAGAAACTAAAAGAAACATAAAAGTTGTACAAAAATATCAGTCGAAGCTTATGTATTGAGTTATAAAAAATTTAAGTTTGCATTAGATAAAGTTAAGTATAGTGTAATTACAGATAGAATTATCTTATTCTATCTTTATTTATAACTTAATAAATAAGTAACATTTTTATATATTAATTTTATGTTTGTTTGAATTTCTAGAATGAATTTTTAGAATCTTTCAAAGATATTTCACAAATTATATTAACGTATAATAATAAAATTTTTAATATTATTAAATTTAAATGAGACAATAATCTTTCATTAGCTATTGTGTTTCATTAATATTTTTTTATTCAATGGATATTTCTTATTTTCATCATAGAATATGCAGATTATGTAACAGGATATTTCAATGGGATATATTCTAATTTATTTTGTAATTTCTGAAGAACTAAAGAAAGATATTGTACAATAATCTTAATTTTAAAATATTAATATAAAATTAAATTATATTGTGTTTTTGATTATGAAATGGTAATGGTAATGAATAGTAAGAAAGGTATAGTAATAACATAGAATACTTGATATTTATTAACAAATAATGAAATGAAATTCAATTATTCGACGTGAAGAATAAACTGAAGAAAAAGTCTAATGGATTTGGAATTTGGAATTGCGGATTATTCAATACTTATCATATTTATTACACGTTTATTGTGATTATTAAAAATAATAATTATTAAAAAAAATTTGTTTATACTTAATTTACATTTTTATTCAGTATTATAATTTATTTCTTTTAAAAATCTCATATTATTCCAAATTTGTCATAATTTAGAAAAAATAAAAAAGTTATTTGCAATATTTATATTTATATATATATTTTTTATTAGAAATTTTCTAAAATTTTTTAAAGTTATTTATTCGATTTATTTATTTATATAAATCCTGACAGAAAGTATACGATTTTTAATTTATATCGAATATTTATTTTTGTCAAATTTTTAGCATATGTATATGACACAAATCTATAAAATGTATTGTTTAATTTTTAGGCTTAGATAAAAAAATTTTAAAAGCAATCTTTACTATTTTCTTCACGATCTTCTTCCGATCAATTGAATTTTTTGTTTTAATTTTTTACGCGTCATTTAATAAATTAATCCTTCTAAATTAAACTTTTCAAGAAAACTTGAGGTTTGAAGTTATTGTATTTTAAAAGATGACTGAATCAAAAGCTATCTCAGTATTTCTATCCTTTTTTTTTATTTAATTTAATTTATGATTTAAAAAAAAATGGAAGAAAATTTAAATCCTAAATAAATAAATGAATTTCTATTTTACATTATAGATTGAGATCGAATATCTCAAAATCAAATTTTTCAATATTGTCCTTAATATCTAATTTAATAATAAAGTTGACTACAATATTGACCATTTGAACCTTGCTTTACTGCTATCTCATCTGATTTTATGAATTTAAAACTATGTGTATTTCATCACAAGATTTAGAATCAGTTTGTTCTAGAATTTCTTTTTTTCAAGACGAATAAATGAAAAAACGATATAACAAGCATATCTTGCATCTGAAAGAAACAATCCAAAGAGAGTTGTGCTCTGATTCGTAAAACTCATCATAAAACTCTGAGCTAAAAAAAAAAGCAGATTTTATACCGTTGTTGTACTCTTCTTCTCGTACATTGATTTACCAAGCCAGCGAAGTTACGCGAGCATGCACAGAATCGGCCGCGTGACAGACACGCATCGAATCCTCCACTGATGGGACGAATTTCCAACGTGAAATCTCGATGCGCGAAGCGCGAGACGCGCACGCGAGAACCAATTTGTAACGGGTCATTTTCGAACGATCAAAATCGAACGCCTCATGACGCTTCTAAAAATCTAACATGGACGAAAAGCTAGATCTCGTGCTTATCTCGCCGATGAACGAGTGTTTTTTCCAACGATACACATTCGAGTTTCTAATTTTTACGAGCTACGAAAAAAACTATAAGTATGCATAGAAGGTCAAGGTAACCGCGTTATATATTAAACGATGCAGATACCGCAACTACACAGAACGTAACTACCGAAAACATTTTCAATAGAGAGGGATATAAAACTTGAAATGATAAATTCAAAAACACGTATAATCCGCAACCGTTAAATATTAACATTCATGCAATATTACGAATTTCAATAAATTGTAAGTCTTTAATCTAATATCGAATCGTAAAATATTTCATCGAATATGTTAATAAAGTAAACCAAGCATGAAAAAGGTCGAATTTTAATGGATCTCGATAGAACTATCGCTGTTTTGTTATTTTTTTTTTTTTTTTTTTT